AGAGGGAGAGGGAGGGAGAGGGAGAGGGAGAGGGAGAGAGAGGGAGAGAGAGAGAGATAAAATTAACCAAAAGGGCTGAAGAAGTAAGTTTAAGTAAAGAACAGCTAAGTCATTTTGGATTTTTAAGTTGATATACTTGATATTCATGGGAACTATAAGACAGTTAATTGGATGGATGGGAATTCACTGAAGAACAAAGTCCAGGCTGTTCATGTAAGTTTGGGAATCATCAGCTTGTAGGTATTTATCATGACACTAAATAAAATAATCCATGAAGTGTGGACAAAACATGGTACGTACAGGGTTGGGGATTTAGCTCAGTGGCGCAGCACCTGCTTGGCAAGCATGACGTCCTGAGTTTGATCCCCAGTACCAAAAAGAAAAAAACTTGTATGACAAGATGAGGACTGAAAAAGTATGAGACTTAGCAACATACACCTCTGGGTTATTGTTTTAAACCATAGGTAGAATTACTTCAACTGAAATTTAAGTTCCTGCTTTCACACAATGCAGTGACAAACATAAAAATCACACCACAAAGAGATAGCTACCCCAAATAATCTACTACACTGTTCATATCTTTGTCATTTCAAATATTATGAATTTAGGGACAAAATATACCATATACATATTAATTACAAAACTAAAAATTAAGTCCACCAGCAACGAAAAAATGAGTAAAGTCCAAAGTTATGAGAGTTTGTTTATTTTGCTATTTTAACTGACTTCCAGGTTTTTCTACAATAGTTAATTTTTTATGTCAAGGTGATCCAAAAAGACTGTTAAGACTGCTACTGCCTAGGACAAATTTATGTAACACCACTTATTTGTATGTATAACTTGGGGTAAATTTCTTAAATTCTGTGTCTTAGTATTCTTATCTCTAGGATATGAATTATATTAGTCCATCTACTCAAAATTGTGATGATGAAGCTGGGTGTGGTGACGCCTATAATCCCACCACTCCAGAGGCTGAGGCAGAAGGATTCCTTAGCCTGGGCTACAAGACCTTGTCTCAAATAACAATAACCAAAACAAAACCAAATTCAGAGTAACAACTTTATCAGTTGTAGACACAATAAAGCTGGAGAATAGGTTTATTCCTTATGTGAAAAGCGCATGATCAGCAATATTTTAGATTTCTTTTCCCTTTTTGGGGGTGGGGTGGGGGTCGGGGTGGGGCTTCAACCCAGGGAAATGCTCATCATGCTGGGCAAGCACTATGTCACTGAGCTAGGTCCTGATGATGCTCCTCTTGAGACAAGTTCTTGCTAAACTGGGCAAGTTGGGTTTTAACTGAAATCTACCTCAAGCTCCTGAGAAAGAGATTACAGGCATTACCACCAAGACCTACTCAGATTTTTAAATACTTGCAAAGACTTTGCTAGTTCAGCATCCCTAATTTGAAAATCCAAAACTTTCTGAGCATCATTTAGGTACTTGGGAAGTTTCAAATTTGAAGCATTTCTCGTTTTGGATTTTCAAACTGGAAATGGTGGCACAGGCCTACTACAACCCCAGATACCAGGGGGCTCAACCAGGAGAATCCCAAATTTGAGGCCAGCCTAGACTTTGTCTCAAAATATAAAGGTCTAAGACCAGGTGTGGTGCCACATGCCTGTAATCCCATCACTCAGGAGGCTGATCAAGGCCAGCCTGAACTATATATTTTGATCCTGTCTCAGATTAGATAGATAAGTAAGGTTAGGTAGGTAGGTCTAGAGATGTAAATCAGTGATAAAGAGTGCTTGCCTGACATAAAGGATGCCTTGGGCTCAATCCCCATTTAAAAAAAAAAATTGATGGATTTTTCAATTTAGCAATGTTCAATCTTTTTATATGTTTTTTCTTTCTGTATCAGAAACTGAACTAGTAACTTCCTAGTACCCAATCAGTTCTCATTCAACCTAGCCTCTTCAGACTGACTCAACACACATGAAGAAACTTCATTTGATAATCCAGGTGTACTGCTTTTCACAAGAGAGTAGACCACTGATAACCTAACTTAGTGCCTTACTTGCATTCTTAGTCCTCATGACTGACTCCTCCCAATAACAGCCAGTAAATACCTCAAAAATAAAGCAGATCAGTCTTTTCCAAAATCCAACAGATTTTTGTCCCCAAGATAGCCTAGATCTCAAATATGAACCTGTAAGATTCCTGCCTCTTATGCCACACGTTTTGGGTTAATTATTTTCCAGTGTCCTGCTCCAAGGTTTATCTGTGCTTTACCTATGCTTTCACATTTAATATCCAGGATCTTGGCTGGACCATCAGCTCCTTTACTGCAGGCACCCTCACCCTCCACAGTCTAAATTTAGTTTGTTTCATCACACCACTGCTTTTCCTTCATGGATCCAGTGCAATTCATTTACACTTCCAAATCTTTACTCATCCTTATATGCCCAAGTCTAATAATGACTTTTCAGCAAGGATTCAAATGTCTAACAAATAAGCATCTCAAAAAACAATGATTATAGTACTACTTCTCTCACCCTCCCCCTCTCAACCTATTTACACTCACCAATGTCTAACTCCATTCCAGGAGTTAGTAACCCTGAATCATACCAAATCTTTTTTCTTCCACCGTATCAATGTTAACACTAAGTCCTCTTAAATCCCCCCCTAATTTCTAATTTCTCTAACAGTATCTTTTTTTGGGCCAGGTCGTTATTGTTCCTTTAGTTTTAACCCTTTTTTTGAAATCTCCTACTTCCAGTCTTATTTTCCTATAAGCCATTCCCACACTTCACTAACAGAAACATTTCTAATAAAATCCTGTTATCATTTGCCAGTTTGGAATCCTCAAACTGGGTGCGGTGGCACACACCTGTAATCCTAGCACTCAAGAAGCTGAGGTAGGAAGATTACCTTTCAGTTAGAGGCCAGCCTGGGCTAGTGAGTTCAAGGGCAGCCTTAGTAGCAATACAGTTTCAAGAAAAAAAGAATCTTCAATGGCTCACTATCAGAAAAAATACAAACTCCTTAGCATGGTACTGAAATTTTATGACCTGGTTTTGTTTTGTTTTTTGAAACATGGTCTCACTATGTAGTCCAGGTGGGCCTTAAACTATGTAACCCTGGCTGACCTCAAACTTGCAACAATCCTCCTGCCTCAGCCTCCTGAGTGCTGGGATCACAGGCGTGCGCCGTAATCTGATTTTAACCTAAGATTCAATTCAGTTCACATCCTCATAAATTCACTGACCCCTAAGTCGATAAGGCACCCATTTCTGTATGTTTCTACATAAAGTATTTCTGCTTACTGCTAACCATGGTACCATTATCTCATTCATGTTTCCCTTAGTAGGCTACAAGTCTCTTAAAGCTGTGAATACATTTTCTATCCCCCAACCAGAAAAATGACATTAAAATGTTTGATTTATAGGAATAAGGAATAAATCACACTAAATCCAAAGAAAACAGGTGCCACACGACAACCAAAAAAAAAAGTGGGCATCAGTACAATTTTGGCCCTTAATAAAGATTTCATTCCTCTTCCAGATAAAACTCTGGAACTTCTGCTTTAATTTTTTCCCATTTTTTTCTTTTTATTTAAATGAAAATCCATTTGACTAATTTTATTTTTCTGGTTCATTTGGATGGGAAAGTGTTAAGTATGTGATTTATTGCTCTAGCACCCCAGCATGGAATATGCCTTGTAAAAAGTCTTTCCATGTATCTTCTCCAGGTCAAAATCTATTGCAGCAATCTCAAAGTAGTTTATCAAAATATTTCACTGTAAAGTCAGGCATGGTAGCACATGTCTGTAATCCAGCATTCAAGAGGCTAAGGCAGGAAACAAGACTGTCTCAAAAAAATGAAAATTTCACTGTAGTCGCTAAAATACTTAAGGTTACAAAAATCCTTAACTCTGGCTATATTCATATCCTCATTGATCTGTTTTTGTTATTTTTTTTTGAAACCTCATAAAAATACATGAGGAAGTGCACTAGTTTGTAAGACACTAAAAGGCTCTTCCTACCACCAGAGCAAACACACTGGACTCTCCAATGGGTAACCTCAAATCAGCAATGGAAAAGGATTCAGTCCTAGATCCTTCTTAATTCAGGTGCAGAAATTAAATTTATCTTCCTGCTTTCTGAGATTAAAAACCCTACCTTCCCTTTTCTTAACTCCTAAAAAAATCTCACAAGGTAACATTTTATTGTTATAGCATGTCTTTTGTGGCTTGATTCACGTTAAATTTAGTTAAGATAAATACAATCCAGAATACTGCCACAAACCTAAAGATATTAAGTAATATTTTTACAAAAAGAGCTCCCTAGTATGTCCTTGCCTTGCTATTAAAACAAGACATTTCAATTGTAGGTATAAACTTCCACTCCTCTTTCTAATTACCAAAAATTCTCTAATCAGCCCCAGTTAATTAAACTCATTGTTACAGTAGTTTATAAATAACTGAGGATGCCTCTCCTGGAAAACATCACAAGATGTATACCCAAAAGGGTTAACCCAAACACTTCCTACACCACATCAACTAAAATGTTTCCCTAGTGTTTGCAATGAAACCAAGCGGACCTTACACCTCTTACCATCACCCAGGAAGGGTGTGCATCTGTTCCAGAAGATATAACCTATACATCAACTTAAATGTTTTCCTAGTGTTTGCAATGAAACCAAGTGGACCTTACACCTCTTACCATCACCCAGGAAGGGTGTGCATCTGTTCCGAAGGCCCCCCTGGCTCCAGGTCATCCTGGCTGATGCTGCTCCAGGCTGGGCATCCATGTTGCTGCAGCTTGTGGTTTGTGAGGAGTAGTGTACAGGAAAAGCAGGATGGGATTTCAAGGGAAACAGGAGGAAGATGGCTTTCCAGGAAAATGCCATCACTATAATAGGTGTTAAGTAGTACCACACACATTTTATTGCAGCACAGTTTAAAAATTTAACAAATGAAAGATTAAAAATAAAAAAACAAAAATAAAAAAAATTAAAAATACAGACGTCCAGAGATGCTCTAAAACAGTTAAGTTAAAGATCAGGAAAAATAAGGTCACAGACTTAACAGCCAGTAAAATTATTGCCAGTGTGGGGAAGGGGTTGAGGACAAGGGTGAGGTTGGGAGAGAAGGTTTACGTGATCAATCCACTTAAAAATGCTAATGCCTTTGCTTTCTCTCCCAAGATGTAAAACTCCAAAGTTAATCAGGAGGCCGAAGAAATTCTTACAAACATTCAGAAAAACTCGATTTTAATCCGGTTAAAAATCATCAGTGTCATTATCATCATCATCATCACCATCATAAGTATAATAATAATAATAATAATAATAAATAATAACTAGTAACAACAATAAAAAGGAAATCAGCGGAAAGTCAGGAAAAATGTAAAAAAAAAATGGAATAACTTACTGTAGCTGAAGATCAAAAAAATCTCACTGTAAAAAAACAAAAATAAAAATAGCCCAGATTAGAAAAACGGGAGGTGAAAAAATGTCAAGTAAGTAAAGTTCATTTCTTTTCTTTCCAAAAGCAGTTTCCACAAAAACCGCAAGGGTAATGTTCTCAGTAGCAGACAAGCAAAGCCCTTTCCACATCATCCATCAATCTTAAAAATACACGAGGAAGTAGAGAGGTCAGTTTATAAGAGGCTAAAAGGCTCCTCCTCTAACCCAACTGCTAAAAAATAGAAATATTAAAAATTACATCTTAAATCCAGGTCCCGTTTTTGGAAACAATTAAAAAAAAACACCTGTAAATTTGCTGTAGTGCACATCATGTTGCATCATTATGTATAAAATGTCTTTATAAAATCAGTTTTGAAATGGGAATGTGTGTGTTCTGAAAGGGTGGGGAAAGGAGGTTAAAAATCAAAGCTGAGCTCCAGTGAGTAGGGATGGGGTTCGCCTTGCTGCCCTGTGAAAGGAGAAGGGACAGATTGAGTCAAGAGTTCCTCAGAAATGTTGTGCCCTAACCCCTGACAGAAACATCTGTCTATTGCATCTAATACATTTTGGTAAAGCATAACATTTCACTGGGATGGGAAGAGCCTTTATTTATAGAATCATCACTTTTACCAGTGACTGTCTTGACAATTCTTTAACATCAATAGGTAGGTAAAATTAACTAAATATATGTCAACATTCCCTTAGGGACTCCAGAAGAGAATACATTTGAACATTTATGTTGATAATCAGCAGTTTGGGCAAGGAAAATAAAGAACCTGGCCAACACAGATAAAGAAGTGAGCAAATGTCAAATACTGAGAAGGTAAGCAGATTCGTGGGTTTTAAACTTTTTAAGTCCATGTACTTTTTCCTATGAAGTTAATAAAGACCAAAGGTAAATGGTCTACCACAAAGATATACACTAGAGATGACTCATCTATTCTCAAAACCAGTGAGTGTGCTTGGAATGGTGGTGCATGCCTGTCATTCTAGCTACTTGGGAAGCTTGAGGTGGAAGGGCCCCAAGTTTGAGCCCAGCCTGGGCAACCTGGTGAGACCCTCTCTCAAAATAAAAGGACTAGGAATGTACGAAGCCTTGCCTAACACTGGCAAGGCTCCTAGGATCAACCCCCAATACCGAAGAAAGAAAAAAGAAAAGAGAGAATGAGTGATCAAACCACAAGGCCTGATGGGGAAAAGATGTTATGGAGGAGCCCTTTCTGTCTGCTGAACAATGAAATATCATACCTATGAAGGGAAAAGCTTATCTATTATGAGTAATGTTATTATAAACAGATGAAAATATGGTCCTCGTGGAATCTGTGGTTCACATCTCAGCCGTATACATAGCACTAATTACAAGTTATGGATTAAAAGAATCTGATACTTGACACAAACTGATGGGTATATTAACTAGAAGAACTGCAATTAGAGACTGTAGCTCACTGTGCAAATAAGCATGAAATGGTTGCGTTCACATTTCAATATTTAGCCATGAGGTCTTATTCTCCCTTACAGGTTTCAGTAAACTCAAGCCATCTTTTTTTTGGATTTTTGAGACAGGGTCTCACTAAGTAGTTCAGGCTGGCCTTGAACTCACTATGTAGCACAGGCTAGCCTCAAATATATGGCAATCCTCCTGCCTCAGCCTCCCCAGTGCTGGGATTACAGACGTGCGCCACCACGCCCAGCTAAGCATCTTAAATTGTTTTGTTTTGTTTTGGTACCGGGAATCAAACTCAGGACCTTATGCTTCTGAGGCAGGTGGCAGAACCAGAGCTAAATCCCCGGCCCTAAATTGAATTTTTAAAGTGCTTTCTTGAGCCAAATATGAAAGATTACAGAAACAGAACAGGTACACAGATTTTTAACTATAATTTTTTTTAAAGTACACAAACTGAAGCATGTCGTGTAAGTTACTTTTACATTTAATTGTGCAAATGTAAAAACTGTTTAAAGTTTGTAAATTTAGAAAATATACATTTGAATGTTATCTCCTTTGAGTCAGTATTTTGGGATTAACAGTGTAACATTCTTATTTGCAGTCACAGTGCAAACCTGCAGAAAAATTTTCAGGATTTAAAGGTGGTACATGTCTATAATCCCAGCACTCTGGGAGGCTGTGACAGGGGAATCGGAAATTCAAGCCCAGCCTGAGCAACTTGAGATCCTGTCTCAAATTTAAAATATGAAGGGCTGGAAATGTAATAAAAAGGTGGCTTTGGATTCAACCCTCAGTACCAGGGAAAAAAGTTTTTTCTTCAGATGTTAACTTTATGACTCCTCCACAAGCAAACCCTTTGCACATGTGCCACAGGACAAGCTAAAAAAGCAGTAAGCATGAAAGCATTTATATCCTTCAATATCAAGATGTCTCCCCTAAAACACATTGAACTGGGCACAACAACTTAAGCAATTTATTATAACTTCTCAAGAGTATCACTAGATTATACTTTGTCAAAATTTCATAAGGTTTAGATTCCTTTTACAAGTACTCTCAGCAAATTTACAACCAACAGCATGAATACCATCCAATTCTAAACTGCCCTATTACAGATCCAATTCTAAGCTCCCACCCAACTAACCCAATTAGAAATTCTTGTGCTGAGTCCAGCAATGTTTTAATCAGCCTCCTGCTGAGTCTGTTAGCACATCATGTTGAAGCTCGCTGTGAAAACTGTGAAGAACTCCTACCCCTAGTTAAGACTCATTCCTTTCCAGGCCTGGTAGCTGACAGCTACAATCCCAGTACTTGGGGGTGGGTTGGCCTGAGGCAAGAGGATCATCAGAGTTCAAGGACTGCCTGAACTACAGAGTAAAACCCTGTCCAAAAAGAAAAGACTCACTTCCTCAGCATGTCTCTTCTTTCCAGTGTATTGAGGCAGAAATGTTTTCCTAACACAATACAAATAAACCTGCCAGGCCCAGTGGCACATGCCTGTAATGCCAACTCAATAGACAGGAGCTGGAGGATTGTGTCCAACTTTGAGGCCAGCCTGGGCTACATACACACAAGTCAGTTCAAGGCCAGCCTGAAGCACACAGTCTCAAACAAAAATATACTGCATGTGCTGGTGCATGCCAGCACTCCAGGGAGGCCAAAGCAGAAGGATCACTCCAAGTTTGAGGCCAGCCTGAAATACACAGGACACTGTACTGAAAATTTTTAAAAACTTAAAGAAAAAAAAAAAAAAGCCACACAAATCTTAAAATTTTGACAAAAACCTTTAAAAAAAACTAAACACTTAAACATTTTTTAAAAAAGTAAACTCAAGAACATTATCCTGATTCAGTGAATCTTCCGGGGAAAGTTAAAATGCTATGACAATCCTTTTATTCCTTTAATCCTTTATTCCTTTTCTAAATCCAAAACCCACATTATCTATAATGAATACTCCCTAATTATGCTCCACCTAGCACCTCTGATTTTCACCAGTTCCTCTAGTAAATCTAATATGTACAAAATCATAATCTTCCCAGTTCCCAATGACAATGAGTATACACTGGAAGTATGAATAAATACTCCTCAAAGACTACCAAAATAAAGGCTGACATACTGCTTGAAAGCAGTTAATAGTAATTACTAATGCAGAAAACTTTTAATTATCAAACTTTCTCAACTTTTAAGCCTTTCACAACAAATGACTTCAGTTGCAGAAATTAAAACAGGTAGTCTAGGGCCGGGGATTTAGCTCAGTGGTGCCGCCAGCCGCAAGCACAAGGTCCTGAGTTCCATCCCCAGTACCAAAAAAACAAACAAAACCAGGTAGTCCCCTTATTTTGTAACTGTAAAACTAAAATGCAGAAGTTTTGTCCAGTGAGATACAATCAGCAAGGGGGATTAAAATCTAGATTTCCTAACTCCTAGGCCAAGATTCTTTCCACTGTTACACTCCCTAGGTAATTAATACCTCACTCACCATTAATATAATTAATCTTTAAAATTAAAACACCTACATCTGGGGATTTAGCTCAGTGGCACCGTACCTGCCTTGAAAGCACAAGGTCCTGAGTTCGATCCCCAGTACCAAAAAAAACCCAATTAAAACACCTATTCTGAAATTCAAAACAAGGTCATATGTAATGTCAAACTCTTGAGATCTAATTATAAACACACGGTACAGTTTAAATACTCTACAGAAGGAACAGCAAATGTCAAGTATTCCTAAGAAATGATTGACATGGGTTAACAAAGAGGTCCAAACACCTGCAACTGCATCCTTTTTAAAGCCTTCCAAACTGAGTGAACAATGCTTACCTAGTTCAGAACACATTAGAACTGTCTGATACTAGTTTTGCAGCTAAAGAATTCCTGATACTAACTCAGGAATGTTACCATGGTACATGATCCTCAGGAACCTTTATTTCTAACACCTCAAGGAAGTGTCCTTCGATTAACTTCAACACCTACCAGTAATTGCTCTTATGTATTAATCTGACATTTACCAACAATATTTTAATATATTATTTCCTATTAAATCAATTACTGCCCTCACATCTCACTTCTAACCATTGAATGTAGTGAGAAACTAATTTTAAACCCATGTATAATTCAAATGTTTAGGCTTTAAAGAATAAAAGGGAGTCAGGTCTGGTGGCGCATGCCAGTAATTTCAGCACTAGTTCAAGCCCAGCCTGAGCAATTTAGCAAAACCCAGACTCAAAGTAAAACAGGACTGGGGAGGTAGCTCAGTGCTAACTGTCCCTTGGTTTGATTCCCAGTGAAGCAAAAACAAAGATCATGGTTTTTGACCTCTACTTTCTACCAAACAGGTTTAAGGAATAAATTTGTACAGTATTGATTTATACTGTGCTTAAATGCATTAACTTTTGTGAAAAATAACTCTTAACGAAATTTTAAGCATGGATT